TATTTATCGTATTGTTGACTACTAGTTTTCCAAGCGTTATGTGAAATCGCTATATTTAGGTTGCCGCTTATCTTTGTTTTTTGTTTAAAATTTTTAGGCCAAGATTCTTTCGTAGGTGTAGTACTTTCTGGAGCAATCTGTGTATTGACAACGAGATATCCTATTGCGTCATCAATGTCAGCTGGTATTTTGATTCTGATATTTGCTGAAATATGTTTTTTCAGATGTTTTCAGAAATTGACCTAATCTGTCAGAATCTTGTTCAATGATGGAAACTGGTAACTTTCCACAAGTGTGGAGCCGAAGTTCAAGATTACTGAAGTGTGTTGGAAATATATAGTTAAGCTTGTTTTTACTCCTGCATAATTTGATTATAAACCTTTCATAAGGAAAAATGCAATTATATTCGGAAATTTATTTGTTCCAGTTGACCAATATATATGTTATCAGGTCGATGCTGTTGATAAATGTTTTGATAACAGTTACACGATAAAGTTGTTGACCATTTAGAGGATGGAGGTGTGATCTTGAGTTGTGTTGAAATCATTAACCTTGTGCCCTATATGTTGAAATACGATTCAAAAGATAAATTGTATAATTTAATTTTTCGAGGGAAGGGGGTCACACAGAATATATCCCAAAGGGACCAAGTTGTCAAGTATTTTCGAAGTTGCTGCTTGGAGATGATCTGTGGCATATTAATTTCGGGAGGAATGAACATGATTTTTTAATAATAGGAACTTGACCACCATATTCCCTACTATCGGAGTGTTTCGAGTCGTATGTTCAGAATACTGAGAAATAATACGAATGCAACTTCCTAGTAATTAATTATCGTTGATGTCTGTTAGGGCATTTCAGAGAACAAGAATTGAAAATCAAACCATTATAAAGTGAACCTATGACCACACCACGGGAAGCTATGAAGTACGCTGCCCATGCGTCATCCTAAGGGCCCATATAGAATAATAAAGGGAATATACTTGTATATATTCCCTTGCGTGCGTGTATGTAAGGTAAGAATATTACACGACGCAACAGCCCAAAGTCTTTCTGCGAATTCACCGGATTCCATTCTTGTAGCATAATCTACAAAATAAAACCTTTTGCACGTTCAATTACATTTTTATGGTGTCGTCACTTCGTATCACAGCAACAACGAAAGTTGACTTCTGATGTGGCGCTATTTTCACTTTCAAAACAATAAAGAGTAATTTTTATTGAGTTTGCAATACTTTGCTAAAAAAATATGTCCTGCTGTCTCATTTTTTGGGTTTCTGCTTTTCTGTTTTCTCTTGATAATAAACATTTCCTGTTTCATCTGGCGGGGAGGCACTGTACTATGCCGCAACTGTTATATAACAGAATTTCGCTATAAAAATACAAATTAAATTTTTGAATTTGCAGTTCATATTTCCAAATTAACAAGTTCGGAAAAATGTGTTGAAGATTTGAGGGAAAATGTGGGGGAACATTTGGGAAAATATTTGTGGGACTTTTGAAAAAACGTTTGGGATAACATTCGGGAAACAATTAGGGAAATAATTGGGTACCATTTAGCAAACAATTTGGCGGAACTTTTTTGGGGAACCTGTGACAAACATGCCACACACTTGCTGCAAGTGTTCTTCCTAAACCACACATAAGAGTATTTATGTCACTTTATCCTTACATTCCGATCATTATCATGTTCTCTCAGTTTATGTGGTTCATTGTATTCAAAATAATTACATTTTAATAAGAAAGATAAAATAATATCAATTATCGTATATACACAGCAAAATGTGTTCCATTTTATCGAAGGCCGACCTTTTATTTTTCTGACGAGATATCTGTTTAATCAATGTTCGTGGCAAAATTGCAAACAGTCGTCATCATCACTGTATTTGAACTTCAGTTGTAATACCCCTTTCGGCAGACCATTTTCTCAAGCACTGACTGTAAAAGAGCCAAACGTGTGATCAACACAATCGAAAAATGAAACGCTTGCGCATATCCCGAATAGTCTTAGACTCTTATTTTGTTCCAAGATATTCACCACTTGATCCCTCGGCATGCCCGCTGCAGTTCCCCATACGAACCCTAACATGTTTTCTCACATCGCACCCTTGCTACAAAAGTGACACAACTCAAAAATCATCATTTATGAGTTGTTACTATGCCACAATGTGGTTAGAGAACTTCACAATACGGCCTGTAGTAGGCGGTGGTCATCGATGGCCGGCTTCATGACTGATCAAGGCACTAAAAGTGACAACACTAAAACAAAGATAAGTTCTTTAGGGTTAATATTAAAAATAACTTAAAAAAACATTTAATCCTGGATTTATAGCTGTTCTCATTAGAGCAGATAAATTTGTTTATCTTAATAATATTTAATTAATGCCACAAACATTTTTTTGTGATTTATGGAAAACCTGACATTTTGAGTTGTTTTGTAGTAATGTGTTTGGTATAAGGTGTTAATAGTACAATTGTGGAATTAACTGGTATTTAATCGGACATTTATTTTGGGATTAAGTGAGGAATGAACTGCTTGTCATGCCCAAGTATTTTCCTTTTTCAGACATCTGAAGACGAAATCTTCCCACTATTGGACAAAATGATTGACCAAAAAACTGGTATAAGTATGCAAACATTGGTGAATGCCACTGGGAGTAATCCTGAACCTCGGCGACTATGGCAGTTCATTGCAGCAATCACAGGTTTGTTTCTTATTTTCTGCATTAGTTATGGCGCACCTCAAAAGGGGTGGGCATCCCCTTCCTTAAAGTCGATGAATCTTTTTTGTTTTTGTTTTTGTATTGTTGCGTCTAAATTAACGGAACGCGCCTCCAATCCTCTTGTCGAGCATTAGGGGTTTTGAGCGCTTGGGGTAGGGTTTAGCACGCCTCACAGGCCCTGTTAAGCGACTAGCCCCTGAGGAACTGGCAAACTCGTTTTGTTGGAATAAATTTCACATTCGATTTTCCGTGAATAGAACCCGGATCTCCTTGAGAGGCAAACGACTTCGCTCTCTCCTAGGAGTGTTCACAACAGGATTTTGTTAATTTTATGTGCTAAGGAAAGTCGTTCATTGTCTCAATTGAGCACGATATAAATAACAATTATTAAATAGAAATAAACACATAAAAATAAATTTTAAATTCAGTATACATGAAGTATTATTTATAAGAAAACATCAAGTTGGCATGACTTTATGGATATGCATCAGAAAATGGTTCTAGCGATTGGGCGCAAAATAATTCTGGTGAGAGTCTGTTATTACATTTTTAATATTCCTAGAAAACTAAGGGGCTTGATTTTCATGAAATAAGAAATTTGGTAATTTATTTTATTGTTCCTTTCAATTGGCATAGCAAGAGAATTAAGAATGATCATTCGTTAAGATCTCCTTGAAATTCAGCCATGTAGTACCTTAGGGGGCTTGAATTAGAAGATGAACACTGAAACATTAACGAGTGATGAAGAAAGACCGGCTGGTCAGGTTTCGAAACTGTCTGCGTTAATTTTGACTTCCCGTATACGTACGTCAGCTGATACCAAAAAAATTGTTATTTTTCAAAACGTCCCTCTCACAAGAACATCACCAGCGCCTAAACCATGCGCAGGAGTTTTTCCAAATTGAAGAAAGCCCTGACCCCCTGGATCGAGTCGAAGCTTTGAGATATTGTAAAACGTTCTTTGAAATTTGGGGCTATTTTATATGAATTCCTTGAGACATTTTCAAAATTTTCACAAAAAAAGAAAGGGCTCCAAATTTTTCTTTACATTTCTCGTAAAAATATAGTAAAATACACCTATGAAGGTGACAGAGGTCCAATTTTTACTGTTTTTACTGAATACTGAATTTTCGAAAATTTCAAAAATTTGAACTTTGTTCGTCTTCTAACAAAAACAAAATTGATGATTGAGATTTTTCCTTCAAATGAAACTTATTATACATAATTAGTTCTTTCATTAAGGTCATGTGCATTTTTTTGAAAATTTTAATAGTTCTCGCGCTATATTGTGAGAAATGTGTGCAATTTTAAAAAATGACAAAAACAAGATTTTCTCAATATTTTCTTTACACTTTTGGTTGGGATAGTACGAAATGCTCTTTATAAGGTGCTTTTCACGCTATGGACTGTTACAGTGACAATAGGTCCTTTTGCGTTGGGAAATGCGCTGAGCTGGACTTCACCCGCTTACAGCTTCTTGGAAGAAGAAAAAGGATTCTCGCCGCAAGAAATATCTTGGATTGGGGCTTCCATGGCACTTGGTGCTGCTGTAGTTGTAATTCCTTGTGGGTTTCTAATGGACTTTCGTGGTCGGAAGAATACTATGCTATTGTTAGTTTTGCCCTTTTTTGCTGGATGGATGCTACTTGTGTTTGCGGATGATGTAAGTATAGGTAGAATTGTGTCCAAAATATAGTACTAATGCAATACAATTCCGTATGTATAGTGATCTCCAATTTCTTTAGGGTAAATGTTTAGTTATATTTAATTTTATTTTAGTGCGTGTGAAATTTCCCTAGATGATTTTTGAAATTATGTTTCCAATTTAAGAAAATCCTCGTTTTTACTTTCCCTTATACAGGGTGCGCCAGAGAAACTTACTTATTTGAAAAAATTCCCGCGCGGTTAGTTGGGCGGTTAGAGGGGCGAGAGGGGGCGTATCTGGAGGGGGAAGTTCCCAAGTTTTTTTCTCCTTCCAGTCAGTGCCATCATGCTGTGGGACTAGAGAGCAGCGGGCCTTCGCAGTCGAGAGCTTCTTTTCTAACGGTCGCTCACTTGTTTGCTACGCAACGTGCCTTCCGCGCTCGCTTTGAAAGCCTCCTCACAGACTCGTTCCTGGCGCGTAATTCGATTCTGTCGTGGGTTAACTCATTTCGGGAGTGTGGAAGTGTCGCCTAAACCCAGAAATGGACTTCAACGGACCATCAGAACCCCGGAAAATATCGAAAGAGTGAGGCAGTCAGTTGTGCCGTTCTCCCCGACGTTCGGCTCGCAAAAACACGCAGCTGCTATGGGAATTTCTGACACCACGTTCGACGAATTCTGCCATGAAGACTTCAATTTCATTCCCTACAAACTAGCTGTTGTGCAAGAATTAAACTGAACGCGATTTTGTTGCCCGTCAAAATGCATGTGAAATGCTGATTGACAACCTGCCTGAAGACGCGGTCGTTTTTTTCAGTGACGAGCTCACTTCCAACATTTCCGGCTGCGTCAACAAGCAAAACATGCGTTAATTGGTGTGGTGTAAATCCGCGTGAGCTTCACCAGAAGCCACTTAATTGTGAGCGAGTTACTGTCTGGTGTGTGATGTCGCTAATGGGAATAATTGGTCCTTTTTTTTTAAGAGAAACGAACGCGCAGTTACCGTGAATGGAGCTCGTTACAGGAACATGATCGAGGAATTTTTTCTTCCAAGACCGAAGAAATGAACGTTAGGAACGTGTGGTTTCAGCAAGATGGAGCCACAGCACACACAGCACGAGACACAATGAATTTGTTGCGACAACATTTCCCCGACCGCCTATCTCTCTCAGAGGCGATCTCAATGGCCGGCACGCTCTCCAGATTGACTCCATGCGATTATTTTTATGGGGTTATTTGAAATCCCTGGTTTATGTCGATCGACACGACCATTGCACACCTCAAGAACAACATTCGCGACGCCATTGCCCAACATACCGATGATATGCTGCAAAGAGTGGATTACGAATTTAAAAATCGACTTCATCAGTGTATGCGCAATGGAGGGTCGCCATTTATCCGATGTCATTTTCAAGACTGCATGAAAAAAATTGGATATGGTATCTCAAAAAAAAAAAAATTAAAACAATAACTGAAGTACTTTTGTTTTTATTGACCTTTCAAATAAGTAAGTTTCTCTGGAGTATATACTCAGTATAGGAGTTCTGTAATGCTGCGGAAAAAATTATTTCGAGATTTCAACGGAAATGCACGTTTTGGGGTCCCCTGATACCGAAAAAGATTTTTTTGTTTTCATAACGTCCGTCCGTCCATCTGTCCGTCCGTCTATCTGTCTGTCTGTCCGTCCGTCCGTCCGTCCGTCCGTCCGTCCGTCCGTCCGTCTGTCCGTCTGTCCGTCTGTCCGTCTGTCCGTCTGTCCGTCTGTCCGTCTGTCCGTCCATTGGTCTGTCCGTCCCTCTGTCAGTCAGTCTGTGAACACAACTAGCGCCTAAACCATACGTACAATTTTTACCAAACTGGAAATTTCCTGGTCGATCCATTTTGAAGCGCCGCGAAAAACTTTCTTCAAAATTTGGGGGTACTTTACATGAAACACCCGGCAATTTTCAAAATGTTTTCAAAACCGGCTCCAATTTTTTTCTTTAAATTTTTTATAAGAATAGAGTAAATACACTTAGAAAGGAGTTGTAGGTCCAATTTTCACGATGATCTCTAAATTTTGGAAATTTTTTCGGGCGTCTTCCTGCAACTACAAAACTAAAAATAGAGATTTTCCCTCAAATAAAATTTATTCTCCATAGTAAGTTCTTTCATTAAGATAATATTTTTTGTTGTTGAAAATTTTAGTAGTTTTCGCGCAATGTTGCGAGCAACACGTGCAATTTTAAAAATTACAGAAAACGATATTTTCTGAAAAATGGCTACACATTTTTTCGTTAAATCTTTGATAGGTATAGCGCTAAATGTACTCTATTAGATGAAATAAACATCGTTTTGCTCGATTTTTTTGTTTTTTCAAAAATTACAAAAATGTGAATTTTGACGTGTCTCTCCCGTTAATATCTATACTATCGGCAAATCGTTTACATTATTATATTTATGAGTACACGTGCTTTAAATGATGTATAAAGATTCTCGAAAACTCTACCATTTTTGTGTGAAAACTTGATCCAACTTTCGCGTTTTAAGACACGCCTAATCGCCATTATCTCAAAAATGGCTCCAAAGTTTTTCTTCAAACTTTTCGAACGGGTGGTGTTAATTGCACTCTTTAATATGACGTAAAGTTCATATCGGAACATATGTGCATATTTCCAGCAATTTGTAAACATTAATGTATTTTTGAATTAATGGGTTTCAAAAGACTTTCAGTGAAGTTTTTCGAAAACTCAACAATTTTCTGTGGAAATGAGCTTCAAATGTTGAATTTACAGTAGAGCTTAAACGCCGTTGTCTTAAAAAGTCTCTAAATTTTTGAAAGAAAATTGGCATTTAGTACGAGATTATACTGTTCTTTAATATTCTTAAAATAATATTTCTGTTCAATTACGAAACAGAAAAATGAAGAATATTTCAAAAAAGTATCCTTTGGGCGGCGATAGGTGGCAGATGGCGAGAGTATGTGGCAAGTACGAATAGGTAGCCAAGACCAAAGGAAATAGAAAACTAATACGGGGAAGTCTTTGCCATTCTGTAACACCACTAGTCAATGTCTTTTGTAGTGCCCGATTTTTTAATCAAAACTTAAAAATGAAAAAACATATTCGTTTGTGTTTGTTCTTTTTTTTCAAAAATTATAAAAATGTAGTTTTATGAGTTGTCTCCCACGTTTTTATTTACGTTAGTGACGATTTGTTCACATTATTGCATTATGAGTACATGTGATTCAAATGATGTCTGGTAAATTTTCTCGGAAACTGAAAAGTTTTCTGTGAAATAGAGTTCAAAATTCCGCGTTTTCAGAAATGTTTAAAAGCTATTTTTTTAAAAACGGCTCCAATTTTTTCTTCAAACTTTTCCGACGTATAGTACTAATTGCAATGTTTGAGGTAACATAAATTTCATTTTGGTGATTATTTTTTTTAAAATTTCGAAAATTTAATTGTTTTCAAATATCTATCACTTCGTTAATATGCACCTTTCCAGCAATTTGTAAACATTGTTGCATTTGTGAGATGAAGTACTTCAAATGACTTTCAATGAAGATTTTCGAAAAATCAATAGTTTTATGTGTAAAGAGATTCAAATATTGCATTTAAAGTGATGCTTAAAAGCCATTTACTTAAAGACGACTCCAAAGTTTGCAACAAAAATTGCCATATAGGTCGAGATTTTACTGTTCTTTAATATTGTTTAAGTAATATATCGGTTCTACTGTTAGGAAAAAATGAGAAAAAATGTACTTGGAGGGGGGGGGCGATAGATAGCAGCTGACAAGAAAATGACGCAGGACTGACGAGCTAGCCCAGACCAAAGAAATTAGAAAACTAACTAGTTCGAGAAAGTGTATGGCATTCTGTAGCATCACTGCTTTAAACTTTTATTAATATTTAAAATACTTATATTTAAAATTTTGGGAAGAGAATTTTGGTAAGTGATTCTAGAGCTCAAGAAAACGAGCTTAGATGATCTCACCCATACGTCACAGTGTTGATTAATCTTTGACTAAATCAATCAATCAAATCAATCCTTTTTATGGTTTAGTCGCTATCGTTCAGACAGACGAACAGATTACCAAGCCGAACTGCCTGGATAGATGGACAGGCTTTCTGTATCATGGTCTGAGAGAACGTGGATTCTGACTGCACAACGCTTTAGAGAAAATAATTTACTACATCTTGAAACAAGTGATAGCGTGAGCTTCCGCGGCCGGAGTCAGTATTTAATTGGCTGTCTGTGTGACACCGCGTCCATGGCAAAGGTGCCGACGTTTCGGTCGCCATTCTGCGATGGCCCTGCACTGAGGAACGTTGCAGAATGGCGACCGAAACTTTAGCACCTCTGCCATGGTCGCGGTGTCACCCGGTCAGCCAATTAAATATTGGAACAAGTTTTAGGAATTGAGAACCTATAGTACGAATTGTTCGCGGCAGAATTGCTTAAATTTATCCATACTACATGTATAGTTTGAGAGAAAATTAAATTTGTTTCAACGAGCTGCACCAACTACATTCATGAAAATAGATATTTTTAACTTTTGTTATTTTTGAAAGCTTAAATGTTTCGACAAATATTGTACCTGGACAATCTTATAAATTGTGCCTTCGACCAAAAAATATGAAAGGATGAAAAATTAATATACCCCTGCGAATACGAAGCGCCTCGTTGCGAATACGAAGCGTGCGAATACGTTTTCAATGGAATAATTTACTTCAAAGCGGAAAGCACAGAAGTCACTTTTTCGCTTTAAGATACCAACTAAACGTGATGTGTGGTCCCAATTGGCAGTTTTTCTGTAGCATTACAATTACAATATATATATATATATATATATATATTATATATATATATATATATATATAACTTTTGCTGCGATTGGTATTGCAGACGCGTATGCTGTAAGCACGCATTGATCCCGAACCTATGGAACCCTGTATTAAATTGATGTACTCGTATGTGTCAATAGGAATAAAAGGAAAGTAAATAAATGTGTTGTTAGGCACTGTCAGAATGTACAAGCTAATCAACATTGTTTAATGTGTATAATGTATGCCGACCTGGATGGCCGAGGTAGCTAGAGCCGGTGCCGTCTCAGCACCTCGGCCCGAAGGTTCGAATCCCGCCGTGCGCATTGTTGTTTGTCCTTTGTCTTTCATGTATGTGTGTTGTCGCGGAAAGCCTTGTGAATCTGTTGACAACAGACAGAGGATTTCGCAAGTGTGTGTTAAGCAAGAGCAAAGGTTAATGTGTGTTCCCTTGAGGGTCATAGTGGGTACCCGGCTCGGATAACGGATTCCGCAACCCTCTAAAGTTGAAAAAAAAAACCAGAAAGAAAAAAGTTTAAAATTTATATATTGAATCTTCGTACTTACTGATATACGTAGAACAGATTTTTAAGAAAAAATGTGTACTAATTTCTATTTTATTTTCAGCTTTGGATGTTTATTCTAGGTCGATTTATCACCGGTATGATGGGAGGAGCGTTTAGCTTAACTTCCCCTGCATATACTAGTGAAATTGCTGATGACAAAATTAGAGGAATGCTGGGCAGCTTTTTCCAGTTGATGTTGGTAACTGGTATTCTCTTTGTCTACATTCTTGGTGCTGCAAATCTCGATGTCAAGTCATTGACAGGAGTTTGTGCCGCTATTCCTCTGTTGTTTGGGGTTTTGTTTGTGTGGATGCCCGACACACCGATTCAACTGCTTAAAACCGGGAAGGAAGGCGAAGCACGTAAATCTCTTCAGAAGTTCCGAGGACCTCATTATGATATTGACGATGAAATCCGCGAATTAAAAGATGCTTTAGAGAAGGAAGAAAGTATGAAGCTCTCATTCATTCAATCTTTTTCTACCAAAGCAGCGAAGAAAGGATTATTTATTGCAGCAGGATTAATGGCGTTCCTACAGCTGAGTGGAGTCAACGCTGTAATTTTCTACGCCACAGATATTTTCCAAGTGAGTAGCCCCTCAATTGAGATCACACATTTTTGTACACGTAGGCTTCCGCGGCTCGAGTTCATTACTTCTAAGCTGTCCGGTTGACGCCGCGTCGTTGGCAGATGGGCCTACGTTTCGCCTGTCATGTCGCAGGCTTCTTCAGGGTAGTTCAAAGTAGTCACTACCCTGAAGAAGCCTGCGACATGACAGGCGAAACGTCGGCCTATATGCCAACGACGCGGCGTCACCCGGACAGCTCAGAAGTAATCACATATTTTTGCTTAAAAAGTATTTCAGAGAATACATTATGTCAATGAATATTTGAAATTGTTGTTTTGAATACAATTTAACTGATTTTTTTGATTTTTTTCTAACGAATTCGTGTATTGTTACAGAAAGCTGGCAGTACGTTGGATGCTAATATTTGTGCATTAATATTTGGTGGAGTACAGGTGGTTGCTACTTTCATATCATCACAAATTGTGGATCGCCTGGGAAGACGCATCCTCTTGATCATTTCTGATCTTGTAATGTCAATTTGTTGCGTACTGCTTGGAGTTTTTTTCTACTTAGACGAAAAGAAAGACCCAGTTGTGGAGGATATTGGTTGGTTGCCTCTCGTAAGCGTTTGCTTGTTTATAGTTGCTTTCTCTTTAGGTTTTGGGCCTGTCCCATGGTTGATGATTAGTGAGCTGTTTCCATCAAATATAAAGGGAAGAGCAAGTTCAATCGCATGCGTGGTGAATTGGATCATCGCGTTTTTGGTTACAAAATTCTTCAACGACTTAGAGCAGGCGTTTAAACTTGGACCAACGTTTTGGATTTTTGCTGGCATATCTGCAGTAGGAACTGTATTTGTTTTAATGTTTGTTCCTGAAACGAAAGGAAAATCTCTTGCCCAAATCCAAAGAGAACTTGAGGGTGACGAGACAGAAATGAACCTTTCTGCCCGACCTGAAAAATTCTGAAATAGGTGATATTGCAGACGTTTTTGTGCTACTGGACAACAGTGCCGTCATGCATTATGGACATTGAAGCTACATTTCAGTGACTGAAACGTAGTGTGTGCGCGTGTATGTGTATGTGTATATGTATTACAGCAGTGTCTTCTCAGCCTCGGAGCCAACGGCAGCTCGTCAGGTGACCGGAGTGATGTGCTAGTGAGGACCCTGTTAATTTGACATATTGTAAGGAAGTATTGAAGTTTAAAAGGCCCATTCGTACAAATGTGCCTTTTAAAACATATCATCGGTTTCTTGTGCTCATTTCTTACGATAACTTTCGATACGATTTGTACCCCACGATTTCCTACGATAAGGGTAGTCTTTTACTCCGTTCTCAGCGAATGAGCCACCACCTTCAAATGTTTCAGAGGAGCACGGTGTATCGGGCTGGGCAAACGGAAATCAGCTATAACATGGGTGTGAAACTTGCAAGGCCCCCACGTGCCACAACTAAAACCTTTCGTTTGGATGTGGGTCGTATTTTCATTACTTGAGCGAACCACTTACCTGACTTCCCTGTATTGTTGATTTTGGTCGTTTGCCTGGTTGCTCTGAAACGAGCGTAAGGGTAAGGTGGATTCTATGCCGTTAATATATATATAAAATAAGGCCGTTCATAAATAATGCAGAGAAACTCATTAGAATGAATTTGAATTTATGAATTTACTAAAAAATTCTTAAATTTAAACATAACCTATTTTTACATGTTGATTTCTGCATTTCTACATGATTCCAGCGCTAGTCGCACAATATCTCCCCCCCTGCGATATGAATCCAAGGTATTTTCACTTTTGACTAATAACCTTTTGCGCGCCACAATAAATGGCACCGTCGCCCACCAGTTGCACAACCCTGTGCTTTAAAATGTATTTCAAATAGGTTGTGATGTGATTCAGGCATTTATAAGAGAATATAAAGACAATGGTAAAATTCTTCCAGGTTAAACGATAAAAATTGTATTGTGATGTTAGCTTTTTTAAATATTTGATTTATTATGTTTGTAAAAGCAAATTTAATTTTAACAAAATCAACGAATTGGTAACATTTTGGGTACATTACGAAATTATTTGTATTTAAATATCTACATTACTTATTTCTTATCTTCGCAGAAGTTGAAAGAAAACTATACAGTCTCCGTCCATGTAAAAGGTCTCATGGTTTTGTTAGATTCCAAAGAATCGGAAAAATGCCAAAAATAAATAGTTTTGTTTTTCACAAATAATGCAACATTTGATTGTTATTACATTTATTCTCATACTGCGCGTACAGACTGAATTTTCATACTTTGTGCGTCATTACTTACGATATCTAACGTCATGTGTCAGCAAGGCCTAGGGAAAAAACCGCCCGCCATCAAGTAATTGTTATTCATGTGAACTTGGTTGATATTCATGGTATGTGAAGATTCGTTGGTCTCTATGTATACTGTTCTACGTTATTGTAGTATTTGTGAAGACTGTTTTTGTTAAAATATTCATTTTATTGATGTTTTATTTGCTATTATTATGCTTGTTGCTGTTGTTGTTGAGCAGTATTCGTACTGTTTTTTGGAAAACTAATTTGAGCGGTTATCTTCAGTAGCATTTTTACTGCTGCAGATCTACTGCTCTATTTTATTTAAATATATTTTGTAATCAAATAGTAAAGTAGGAATGTGTTTTACATGGTCAAAACACGAACGAGTATTACTACGTAAAACTTCTGTTATAGTCAAATACTCATTAAGTGGTAATTTTGTTTTATTAGAATGTATTCTTTATCCTGGAATATTCGCGATCATAATTTTTGTACCTTTGTGACATTTTGTGTAATTCTCTTTAATATTACATCATATGAGATCTGATTCATAATGTAGTCAGAACATCTTTCTATATATTTCTAGCTAAAGAAACCCGTCATTTCTCGGGCATTTATCATCACAAATATCTACTAGCTGGCCTTCAAGGTGGTTGCCCGGATTTGCGTACTGATGCCTCACAATATAACTAATAGCTGTACTTTCTTTGTATGTGTAGGTGGAAAAACAGTACAATCAAATTTACATTTGTTATTGAAGATAAGTTAATCAGTTTTTATGAAATTGAAGTGCCCCGCGTTACTAAGATATTAATTTTTCACAATATATTAGGAATTCTATCTATTCCCGCCCTGTTAACAATGGCGGATTCGGAAGGGGGGCATGACCCCCTTCCAAAAGGCTTAAGGTTTTCGTAACCTTCTTTTATTTGGAAAATTTGATTTTAATATTTATTTATATTAGAATTAAGTAATTATTTAAAAATAATATTGTATAGATATATATATATATATATATATATATATATATATACTACATAAATAATAAAGAATATAATAAGAAATGTTTATTATTTTAGAAAATCTACAATGGATCCCTCCAAAATGATCCGCTCCTGCCCTATATATTCTAGTTTATCCCCACTCCACTCGGCCTTACTCCGCCTTACCCTGACCCCACTCTCAAATCCCCAGTGTTCTTCACTTGCTTTCTAATTAAAATAATTAATAAATATATGCTAAAATAAAAATAAAATACCTTTACTCTAGTCTAAGCTTTTTGTGCGATTTTATTTATCATGCCATTACAAGCATTATAATACAGTACACTTCCCTACAAAAATTATCCAACCTGTAACTGTTTTAGCATCAATGTACTTTTAAGTATTTACATATTCGTGATTTATTACTTTTTTATTTTCCACTTAATACATTTAGCAGTGTGTTAAGCAATGACCAATTTCCATCTTACATTTATAAACGGGTCCAAGGAGGAAACAACGAAACTTTGAAAGTAAGCTCGTAAGCCAATTTAAAGCATATTTTGTCTAATAAACTCCTTCGAAATTTCAAATGGGTGAGCCGCAATAATCACTCAAAATTTTTTTTTGAAAAAAGGTTTTCTACGCAAAAATTTCATTTCAGAAACGTATAAGACTCAACAAATCAGTCCATGTCCATAGTTCTTGGTTTAATTGATTTCCATAACAATAACCGTAGTTCCAAGAAGATGAAGATTATTTCTCACAGCTATTCTCAATCTACAACGTATGATAACGTTCGTTTTGTGAATGTAGTTTTTCTGCATAACCAGTATTTTTGTGTTGGAAGTTTGGTGATAGTATATAACCTGGTTTTGTGGCATAAACGTCCTTTGTGATGTGAATCTGATCACGCAAGGGAGAAAGAAACAAATAAGAAGTAGATTCTACGTCAGATGTAGAAAACACAGAGTGAAGAGACGTAAAACAAAGAAAGAGGAAAGAGGATTAGTAAGAGCAAACAAAGTTAAAGAAGAAGCCCAGTTTAATCACAAAGAAATCTTCAGATGATGACTACATATTTAGTCGCCTGCTAACAGAGATTTGTGTCTAAATTTGTCAGCAATGTCAGATGCTAATACGTTCGTCAATAATATTTCAAATTGATACAGTGCATTGACATTAGCATTATTTCTTCAAATATTGTAATATTACTGCTCCAAATAAATAATTTTGATGTACTAATTTCCAATTTTTGAACAAAACAACACCATAGTCCATATACACCCCACTTAATCCAGTTCAAGCTTCAACTACACTCAAGCGTCCATCAGTAATTAAATTTGCTTGAGAAAGTGCGCAACTATTTTCATGCTACCAGTTTCATCATGGAAAGTGTTTGCGCTCTCCTGTAAAATTGTGTTTTTGGACTATTGTTGTTTTTTAAAAATCTTTAATTTGTTCACAAAGGAAACATAACGAGGTCGGCGACCGTTCTGTCTCCAAAGGTCCTCTTGTTTAGCCCTCTTCACAGGCCGCTTCGGATCTGCTTTCTGCTGCCCTTGCCGGTCGTTCTCTTCCTTGGTCAACCAGATCTTCTTTAAATTTACACTCATTCAATGCACTTTTCATAACGAATTTGGCGTCCGTGATTTTAAATAGTCACAGATCGTGTGCTTCATTATACATAATAGTTCGTCCACTGGAGTGACCTTTCTCGTTTTCCTAATACGTTTCTGGTGCAAACCCAGGAACAAACGCCGCCTAATAGATCTGTGGGCGCTGTAACACAATGTTCTGCTACTCAATACTTTACTCGTTTTCGTTCTATCTTTCATAACTTCAAGAAACTAGGAACGTTTACTGGATTCACCACACAAGGCAAATTGATGTTGCTTTCATTCACATATCATGTTCTCGCAGCCTACTCATTTACGAATTTCAAAAAAACTTCAGGTAATTGTACCGTTACGTATAGTCGAAAATATTGTTACGTTTTGCCTAAGTATAAGTGCTATGCCTGGTCTCCAGTCTAACACGCCCGCTCTTGACCACTGCAGATTTCAGAACAAAGATGAATCCCTCGTCCACTGGTCAAGTAGAACCACCTTCCCTACTCATCCCTTCGTGACGTAGGAAGGCCTCTCTTACCTAGCCGGTCGGCCGTACTGACATTCTTAATACGTCGAGATTTGCACGCGAATTCCAACCATGTATGACTTGGTCCCACAGGATTGACACGTTACAGTTACGTGTCTATATGTGTGTGTGTGTGTGTGTGTGTGTGTGTGTGTGTGTTGTGCACGGTGCGAACTCCTCACGGAAACTCTCCAGTGGCGTATGTCCATAAAGCTGGCTAACATATTATAACAGAACAAAAAGAAAACTAGCTCATAATTTGAAGCTAAATAAAAGCCCTATCCCCAAATTTTCGGCTCTTGCAGTTTTCTCAAAAATCAATGTACACTCAGCTTTACAATAAAGCTAGGTGACACAAAATTATAAATAAAAGTTAAAACTCATACAGGAAATGTGGGCTAATTAGAGACTCATAAAAATAACTAATTTATTATTAATATTTATTATTGTAAATATATATTTCTGAAGATTGCAATTTATTATTGTAATAAATAATAAATTGCAACTCTTAGATCTTAGAGCAGAACTGCACAGCATTTTGCACTTTCACTGATCTCGGGAGCCACGGCCGCGTCACTCGAGTTCAAATGCGGAAGGGTAAGGAAGTCTGAGGATAAGACTATTTCTAGGAGAGGACACCACCAATTCAAACTGTAACGCGTAAATAGAAAGAGCAATCGGTGAGAGTCCGGATTGCCTCATTCAATCCAAGTAATATTGCCTTTTATATTATATTGGGAATGTTCATTGTCGCTTGATGACAATGTGAAATATGAAATGCAACTATTGCGGAAGAAGCTTTGCCAAAAATGACGAAAGAAACTTCAACAAATGTGACACGCGCGATCGCAGATGGTTCGCGACGGCGCGGCCTAGAAATTAAGTAAAAAAAGTTTCTAAGTCCGAGAATGTAACGTAATCCAACTCGCGCGGGCACAACTTGCGCAACCTCGTGGCCTAACTCTTCGTGCGGCCTCAGCCGAAGCAGAAATTCAAGTGATTTTTGCTCCCCTAAGCTCTCGTCCTGGAAGCTTCAATTCCCACTCTCTTACATGAATTTTAGGCTCTGAACAACTCAAGTCTATTGCGTTTAAAATAATTCTTCATCAATCACTTATTGCTCCTTTCTCTTCTTTAACATTAACGCAGACATTAACCACCAGAGATTTCTGTCAATAATGCGTTTTGGTATGTTCAAACATTACTTGTTATGTATGTATGTACCTGGCGCGACAGCCAGTGAACGGGCTCAGGCCTACCGGCAACGTCCCTGCCTCGCGGCCATGGGTTAAGGGGGAACGTGTGGTTAGCACATAGACATCCCCCCGCCGTATTCCGGTCTTCTCAACCTGAGAAGTGAATTTTCTCATCGTTACACAGCATCATATACTGGGACATTTCAAGGAAAACCCACACTATAGATAGTCTTGGCTTGACCGGGAATCGAACCCAGGGCAAAACATTACCTACATCAGTTAATTTATCTGCATCCGTAAAATTGAAGAAATAAATAGTATCAATATTGTAATTATATTAGGTACAAAATACAAATCTCAAATATAAATTCTAGATAATGAATTTCAAATTCTGCAAGCAAAACATGTTAAATGCCTAAAAACTCTTTAATTTTCTCCCAGGCCGGATAGCCGCATCTTTCTTAACTCTTTTTAATCCCACATACTTGTAGCATACTCATATTCACAGCAAACCGGCTTCGTCAAGAAATGCTTGAAACCAACTTTCTTTTATTCTACAAATCGCTCTGCGCGCTTTCGCTGCACCTGTAAGCAGCTGCTTTCAATAATGAAATAAATATTTCGAGCGTGGAAAGAAATTCAAAGTCGATTAGGGAAACCTACATATTTCGGCAGAGCGGATCACATGCACAAAATTCAGACAAGAATTCAGAAAACGGAGGTTGGGAAATATTCATTCGCGGATCGCACAATTAGGGACTGGAGCAGTGTGCCTGTGACAATCTTCGATCCCTTTCCTCAAAGTCTGAGCAAATTTAAAAATAAATTAGGTTTTCGAATGTGGATATGTTATAAATATATTTAATAAAATTCAGTGCAATTACCTATGTCTTCTTACATTATTATTATTATTATTATTATTATTATTATTATTATTATTTATGTATTATTATTATTATATTATATTATTATTTATTATGGGATGTGCAGCTGCAGTAACGTTGTGCAACTGTATCGCCATGCGGTGAAGTGCTGGGGAAGTAAAGTTTGGTGAAGTGGAGTTCCTTATGAAAGATTGCATGGTGAAATGATTCATGTGCATTTGTACGTTTGTAGAGTTTGTAGGAGTTGTTAAGTTCTGTAATGTAAGTTTTTAGTGTATGTCTGCTACCAAGTTCTCCAGCCACTTAATTGCAGAATTATTACATAAAATCGTAAATCTAAATCAGCGTTTTTTCAAAGCCCTCCAGCGTTAGCGAGGTAGGCGACGCCATTGGTTACTTTGATGGAAAACTAGGCTATCCGGAACGGCGCGTCACTTGACACGGTGGGGCTAACATTTCGCGCCAGCGTATTGTGGCCTTCCTCAGAGCGTACAACATTGTGGCCTTCCTCAGAGCGTACTGCGGTGGCTTGTTAGTCACGTGGGTCGTCCAGGATAGCCTACATAATTAAAAACTCCGGCCGCGAGAGCCACGCAGTCACGCTTTGTTTTCTCAGCTGTCCTACCACACCGCCACCACCACCACACCGCACCCGAGTGGTGGAGCGCCAACCAACGACGGCTGCCAAGATCACATGCTCGCGGCTATACTGCAATTTATTTAACACTACCCCTCAAGGCCCTACGTTACGGTGGCATTATATCTGGCGTCTTTTTTCGTCGGTCCGCCAGATGCCGCATGATCGCGACCGCAGAGCAGTGCTGCGATCGCGATCATGCGACATCTAGCGGACCGACGGAGAAAGACGCGAAACGCAGTGACATTACGCCACCGTGAAGTAGGGCCTTGAGGGGCAGAGTTAGAAAAAATTGCAGAATAGAGCTCAGTGACCCAGGATCCTCACCGTCGTCGTCGCCCCGCCACGTGGTACCTGCCGCTTCAACATCTCCCAAACACATGAGGGCGCACCTCCCAGCAGGTGAGTGCACACAGTGGACATCGGGAGCTTTGGTGCTTGTGAGGGTGATGAGTGTTTCCGGGCCTCTCAACTGCAGCAAAGCTTCCAAGGTAACGCTGGGGTCAGTGATTCAACGTAGTGCTTATTTATTCCTTTCTATATTCTCTATAACCCATTTAAGTGTTCACATTTGGTGTACTGGCTTCTGAATGCGCGTGTGCATTCGGTACGGATAAATAACTGAATTATTTTGTATTTATGTATCACGGCGACGTTTCCAAAGAACGGTTATTTCTGATCTCTTACAGTGAATGGTGAATTAAAGCCGGTACAGTTGCAATGCAAACGTAATTGTAACTATGAGTTTACTTGAAATAGTACGGTCGTTCTTCCCTTTCCCAAAGTAAGTTGAGAAGCACTGAATGACGAAATTTTCCGGATTTTTTTCTTGTGAAACCTGACCCACTCACTTTAATAACGAAAAAAGATCACAAAATAGAAAATGCTTAGTAATGAAGGGGAAATACATCATTAATTACTAGCTGCGGTAAAATGTCCGCGAAATGTACTAAAATTGAATATTTATTACATATATTTGATTGACGAGAACTAAGTTTGTTTCTATTTAAGGATCCATTATACTTTTTTATGTAGAATGTCAAGACAGGCGTCTACTATCTTCAATTACTATAAAATCGAATTTCAATGAAAGATGTGGATGTAATTATGATACCTAATACTCACGTTACAGAACGAAGCTACCCAAATTATTTTGGATGCTGTATCTACGATGCTAAACATCCAAATGGTATGACATCTAGGGGTACAGTTATTATTAAATTGAACATTGAATATCACGTAATAACTGTGTTGAACATTTGCAAGCAACAAATGTGAACATACTTGAGTAATGTGATTAGTGTGATTTCTTCTGTGTGTTAACCCATCGCGACATAAGATAATGCAATTAAACGTTAAAATGTTTTTCAATTCTTCACTACCAAGTTTATAGTTGGAAGTTATTTCAATGCAAAACCGACATTGTGGCTCACCATTGTTCCCTTCAAAAGGTCGTCAACTTTATCGAGTTCTATTATCAAGCAACTATCAGAAGTGCGATTTTGATAACCGATGTACTTACCATCTGATCCAACTTGACTCTTTCCTTCTGCATACCTTATCATCAAGTTATGCATGAGCAAGAACTAGCCACCATCTGTCTTCTGATCAAATCGAGTACCATGACATAACACTGCCTAATAACTAAACTGTATAACTATTTTCAAACTCAAAACACAAGCTGAAGTTCGTGAATCAATAGAATATCTATTGCTAGTAGTATACAGAAAGCTACTATAAAAACGTATATTTCCTTACTTTTACTGAAAACTCTAAGGAGCGCCACAACTATGTAACATTTGGAAAAGTATTATTTTACTCAAATGATGATTTGTCGATGCTGAAGCGTGTCGTGTAACAATTTCCTAAATCAATGTAATATTTTACAATTATTTGATGACGCTACCTCCTGGATCAACATCAGAAAACCGTAGATGGCTACCAAGTATTATCAAAGTAAGAAGTGGAGATAAGAATAGGCTAGATTTCCAAGGTTTATGGATGTCTTCTAAAGCACAATTGGATGGGCGTTAGCAAGTTTCTTGGATCCGTGAATCTGACCAGATAAGTGTTCAACGTTCCCGAAATCAGCTTTAAAACGCAGCTTGTGGAAAAGATTGGCCGATTACTTAATAGTATTCAATCTGGTTTTTGATTAGAGATAAAGGAAAAAAATATGGAAACGTGGTGTCTCGGTAGACGCCAAGTCCTAGACATAGTTTCCAACGTTTCGACTGCCATACTACAACTTTTCTCAAGCGCGAATGCGAGAGAATATCGATAGGGAAGGCCACAGTATGAGTCTAACCGAGCATTAATGTTTGCGCTGAGAGTGTGGTTAGAATGTCGTGCTAAATGTTAAATTTGATGTATGACATTAAACGTTAATGGTAGTTGTCAAGATTTCTAATTGAAAATTTAACATTGGTGTAAAAAGCCTTTTCCGTTTCCCAAATTTGTTTCCTGTAGTTTCATAAATACAAATATTAAGAATTTATAGTACAAAATTTATTGTATTGCGTTCTGATAAATATAAGCGCCCATTTAAAAACTATTTGTTTTTTAATTGTAATATTGCTCCAATTTCTTTTCTTATAACAAGAACCCGGAAGTTCAAGCATTTAGTTTTTCTAAAATAGGCAGGAGAAGATATTTATTTTTACCAAAATAGGTATGCAAAAAGACATTTATTCTGGGCACGTAGAGGTGCAAAAAGACATGTAAACAATGGAAAATCACCTTTTAAAAGGAATTATTGTAAACTATTAATTAAAATGATTCAAGTTTGTATTCTAATGCTACAATTACAATAGCACTTTCTTGGAAGGAAACTATCTTTGAAATTACGATTGCTCATGGCCAGCCGGTATGATGAGTATAAATTTGTTTCTCGCCACGTAAAATAAGGCATAATTCAATTCAATTCAATTCAATATAAATTTGTTTCTCTTGCGACGCTATCACTACTGAAATGCTATAGTGGACAGCTTTTCTAACCTTGGAATGTCACTAGTGAAAACGCGATTACAATGTCCGTTCTTCGCACTTGTATAGGCACTGAGAAGGGTTGCATCGAATGTCATGTAAAAAAGAGCTCTGTCTTCAAAAGGTATCGGAGGACATAAACAAAAGTTGGTTACTCGTGAACGAACAAAGCCTATCAGCATAAAGGAAAGAAATCTTAGCTGATATCATCTTCCTTTCCTCAACTCTGATTCTCGATTTTTCACTTGAAGAGAAATACAGAATCGGACAGCGTCTTCGTGTTGTCCAGGCTTGCAGCTTTCAGCGTGATCGAGATCAGTAAAAATGGAAAGTAATGACGACAGGGAAGAAAGAGACAAAAATGAGGTGATATACTAAAAAAAATGCATGAGATGTTAAAAATGGCAAAAACGGCAAAATAAAAATATCATCAAACAACTTCAGAAGTAAAATTAAATACTTCCTATTGTTAAAAGTCATAAAATTGTAACATTAACAAAAAGGCATTTGCCAAACTTCCTGTCTCTACTTATGCCATGTGATTTCAAGATTGCTGCTGGACTATATAAATAATCCTATACATTGTAAATCGCCGGACGATAAGTCGCTGACGATATGTAATCAAACCAAACTCCTTTCTGCTTGGCGTTCTGTGGTTTCTAAGAGTCTCACGTGATAACGCCGACTGTGGTTTTTAAGTGATATGCAATATCAACAGCTTTTCCAGCAATGTAATATACCCTTGTTGCCACCGACTTGGAATGAATAAATGAAGGGGACAGTGACGTGACAGCTGAGCGAGTTTACCTTGCATTTACGACACAGAGTATCAAGATATTACCTCATTAAAAGTATCCTGGCAGTGTAGGTACCGGACGGACAATTTCAAAAGTATATAATTCAAATCTGGTGTTCGCTTTAGGTTGCCCTCGAAAAATCATGCAGCGGGCACCTAGCAAAGGAAATAAAGTGCTGCAACTGTCTCTGCCGAAGCCCAACTGTCAAGCACAAAGAAGAACGATACAGGACATATCTTACTTGGTTGCCTTCGGATAGTGCTTAATCATTTAGTTCTACAACAGTACAGGTTTCTCTCCGCGGTGTGAAAGTTTTTGGACCGATTTATTTTGAATCATTTATAGCATCCAGATTTGCAGCAATTTTTACAATATATTCAAGTAGTTTTTAGACACAAAAAGCATTATTAGGACTTTGTATAATTGCTTTGGCATTGGCGAATGTTGTTAATATAGGGTGTTTCAATAAGAACTTTACAAATTTGAAGGGTCTTGTTGGTTTATTCTTTTGACGTATTTTGTTTTGGTGTCAATATTTAACGAAATACATCATGTTTTACTTAACAGATTCAAATTTTACATCAAGAAATTCAATGTTGCTTCCATTGGTCCTTTGGGACATATTCTACCTGATGCCCCATTTCATGCCAAACCCGTTGCAGCTTGTCAGGCTTTGCGAAACAAATTCTAGCTCTCAGCTCTAGTAGAAAACGGTAAGGGTGGAACAAACGGTATCCTTGATGAATCCTCAACAGAAAAATACAAGGTGTGTTAGATCCGGTGAACGTGGGGCCCATGTAATTTCCACACCTCGTCCTAACGACCATGTAGAATTTCCAAACAAATTTCCTTACGAGAAATCTTATCAGTTTATTTTCGTTTTTGCACCATTGTCAACTTGAATGGGTTGAGGTGCAACCGTTTTCCCAAGTCACGTCCAGTAGTCGTATGTGGGACGCCCAATTGTCGAGAAGCACACCAGGTTGATTTTGTAGGACTGTTAACAAACATTTGCTTTACTTGCTCTAAGTCTTCAAACGCATGGGGTCGATCTGAGGACTTTCTGTCTCTCACCGTAAATCAATTTTCATTGAAACACTTATGCCACCGATAAACAGTAGGCCTACAGGGGGGATATTTACCACACTCTGTACAAATGTTGCGAGAGACAGATGTCGCAAGCTTCGAATTTTCAAAACAAAACATGCAGCGAGCACGTTTCCGGCTGGTAGAGGCAAGGACAGACTCAGGAACGCTAAATCTTTTCTGAATCTTGTTGTAGTGCTTGCGGTACCGTGGTACTGTACAAACGTACCACATGAGTCAAAACTTGATCCTTCAAAATGGCGCCAAGACTAGGTCTCAGGGTCGTTTGAATGAGTTTGTACGAGCATTCAAACTGGTAAAGTCCTTACTGATACGCCCTTATAGTTTCTGACGTATAGGGAATATCGGACGCATGTAAAAGTAGTGGGGCTACAACTTTTGGGTATCCTCGATTTTATTTCGTAAAAGGTTGACATTGAAATTATACCTCAAATCCCTCACTAATGTACGGCTTGAACATAGGTAATACGGACTCGGAAGGAGCCTTTTCAGTTATAAACAAGTGGTCAAGCA